CAGACCAGGAATGACCACTGGACCTTTTGCAGATTTGTTTCCTTATAATTACTAACACTTGGTGAACTCAGGGCCACCCACCTAAATGCCTAGAAGCTAAGGCATCAGGGCAGTAATGTTTTCAAAGCAATTAGAACAGCAATTACCCCTCTGAGTTAGAAGCGTGGTTTTGTGGTTCTAGAGAGAAGTTACCACGCCAGCAGAGGATGCGTTATATTGAGCTGGGCCACTGATCCTTCAGAAACACTACTTTGCTCAAACACATCCCTATACAATTCATGGTTATGGTGCTCCATGCACCAATCCTGAAAGGCAGATCAGATTCCACGAGCAGCGAGACTTCAAGAAAGTGGCTTTCCTAAGGCTACCCAGTGTGTTTGCAACTGGGCTGACAATGCTTTTCACTCCCCTAGGTGGACATCCTAACCAGAAGGTTTATGCTGGCCCTCATGAGCCACCGTACATGGCTGCAGGATTGCATGTGGACTGGTTTGTTGTACAGGCCTGCTTCCCTAAAGGGTACAACCCCTTTTTCTGGTGCAAAGGTTTTATCAGAAATGTTTATTACCTCGTCACAAATTCTGGTGGCGCAAAGGACAACCTTGCAATGTTGATAGCTCGCTTTTGCCAAATTATGTGTCGCCTGCACGTGCCCCCCCCCCTCTTTGGGCAGGCCTTGTGTGCTAGAAGCCTGTCAGCCACACAGATCTGTGGGTCAGCGAGGAAAGAGAGAGTGCAGTTAAGAATAGTACTACATCCAATCTTAAAATCTGACCGGCCTGTCTGGGAGGAAAATTACAGTGTTGGGGAAGGACAGTGACTATGATTTCAGTGTTCTGTAGTAAATATAAGTCCAGGGGTTTTGGTGGTAAGGAGGAGGCAGGCTCAACAGGAATGTGTACGCAGCCTTTGTTTCAGCCATGTCTGCTTCAGCTGCTTCCCATTATGTTCTGTGCATCGGAAAGACCTGCGAACAAGGGAGCCTTGCATCTCCCTGACCCAGAGGAGAAAGCAAGACAGAATGGGAGGCGGAAACTGAAGGCTGGCAACTAGTTTTTAATTTAAACATCACCTGCACACAACCCCCTCCAACCCCCCAACCCCCCATAAATATAGGTGCACCAATGTTACCCACTCCCATCTGGCCTTTAGGGAAACAAACTGCTGATTTCATCCTGTCAAGTTTATTTTTAATGCCATTCACAGCTGCTCTTGAATGTATAGTTGTGGCTAGAAACTGTAGCTAGCAGCTGGGCACCTCCCTCCAGGTTATTTCAAGCCCTTGGGAAAATTCAGTTCCTCGCACATTTTGTTATTAAATGTAATAACTGTGGATGCTTTGCAGGCAGAAGTCTCCTAGTGCTACACAGTCATGGCTTTTCCAGTGTGAGTTATGGGCAGAATTGCAGTTGACTTTCCACGCTGCTGGGGATATTGACCTCTCGGTGCACATCCCACTATATTCTACCCACCCCAGTGGTGAAGCATGATGCAATATTGCTGTGTTTCAGCCCTGTTGTCCCTCCTCTCCCTTCCACAGTTCTGTTTTAGAACATTTGCACAGGTGTGATTGGCCAAATTCTGACCCATGCATTCCTCAGGGCAGTCGCCACCCCAGTTTCATATGATGGTCACTTTTCTCCTTATTCTCCAGCAGTTATTTCGCATTCAAGAGTAGGCGACTTGCTGCAGAAATCAGATAAGCACCTGCTCAGGCCTGCGACACTATTCTGCTGTAGAAACACAATATTGCAAGACCTTTCTTCTGAATTCTATGTAGACCCCTTTAAAGCATGGAAGAAGGGTGACAGGCTCCCAAGAGCAACAGACAGATTCATCAAATCAAAGACAACAAAGAGTCTTGTGACACAAGAATAACAAATTTATCATGGTATAAGCTTTCACAGACTTCCACTGCATCAGATGCAATAAGGTGGATGTACACACCCACGCACACACACATGTGACAGAGGGATTGATAAACAGTGGGATCAGAAAGAAACAAAATGCAGAAAAGTACACTACAGTATAACAATTATGTGGTTCTTAACAGCTGCTGATGACACAGACATCCTGCCACTGGTAACCAATTCCCATGTGTCGTGTGATCAAAAATCCATTCATTCTACAAGTAATAGCACTGAACCTCTTGATGAATTGCAATTTGGTGGTTTCGTGTTGAAGCCTGACTTTGAACTTCCTTAAGGATTGAGCCCTGAACTTGGGAAATGCAAAGATTTAACCTCTTTAACATCTTAGGAATGAAAAAGCATATTTTCTCCCAGTTTGCTATAGCCTCTCCCTGAACTCATGGACCTGCATAATCAGGAGCGCAGGCAAAACAAGCAACAGAAATAAGTCAATAGCTTGGCAGAGAACTAGAACAGGTAAGCAGGTCAAAAGGCAAGCTGTGGGTTCAGAAAAAGACACGGATTAGAGCTGGAGAAATGATGAAAGTTGGTGCCTTTGGGTACTAAGTGCAGCACTAAATGCCTGATACGATAAGCGAGCAGGGAGAAGGGGGCATTTATCAGGCAGTGCAACTAGATAGCTGGCATAAAAGAAGCTGCTGCATGCTCAGCACTTTTGAAAAAAATCTGACCTTTCTATTGGTGCTTAAATGGGAGCTGTGCATTCTTGAAAAATTCTGTTAAGCAACTGTTGGTAGTGTATGCTGAGAATATGACATTGTGGGGACTAGCGGTTATGGGAGACGGCTGTACAGGCGGCAAGTATGGTTTATTTATTTGTAGCTACACAAGCAAAACAACAACAGTTCCCAAGCTCCAGAAACCTTCCAGAAACCTAGTACCTGCTGCATGGGATTAATTACCATCTCGTATGGCTCATTATAGGCTACTAGTTTTCATCTGAATGTTTGGACAATCCTGGACTTTTGACTGGACATCAGTAATATTTATAGCACTGTCTGTGGAATCCTGTACATCTCAGAAGCAAATCCCATTAAGTTCATTGCTTCTTACTCCCCAGTAAGTGGGAAGAGAAAGGCAGACTGAATACAGATCACTCTTTTGGTATAATTAATATTAGCTAACATCTAAAGAGCAGCACAACTAATTCTACAAGCAAAGGGACATTTCAGAGCTGTTTTTGATGTAACTTAGGGTGTATTGTTCAAAGAAAAAAGTAAACACAAAAAAAATCTACAGGATAAATTGAAGCACTTGTGTACATCATCAGCATCTCTAGGTTTTGGAAACTTGTTTGTTTGCTATGCATTTGACACCTAAGTTATCATAACCAGATTTTGCACGACGTTATGCAAGATTCGGAACAGGTTTTGTCTATGTTTAGGGACAATTGTACGCTATTTTGAGTCAAGATGTTGGACAGAAACTTTCAAAACTGCGCCAATTTTTAAACACCGATTTCAAAACTGCACTAATGTTGTGTTTTTCTAGAATCCCCAAACAACACCAGGTTCAAAGCTGCTAGTTATTAATAACAGAGTTACTGCTGAGCAATTTACATTAACTGTGTTCCATCTTCTGCAGCTGGATTATTGTGTAAGATGTTTCCAGTTTACTCAGCTAACCTGAGCCCAGGCCAAAGAAGAGAGATTGGCACTGGGGCAGGATGGGGAGCGGGTACATTCACAGTAGTTAGCTTGGGCTCCAAGTACAGTGGTACCTCAGGTTACATACGCTTCAGGTTACATACACTTCATGTTACAGACTCCGCTAACTCAGAAATAGTGCTTCAGGTTAAGAACTTTGCTTCAGGATGAGAACAGAAATTGTGCTCCGGCGGCGCAGCAGCAGCAGCAGGAGGCCCCATTAGCTAAAGTGGTGCTTCAGGTTAAGAACAGTTTCAGGTTAAGAACGGACCTCTGGAACGAATTAAGTACTTAACCCGAGGTACCACTGTATATTGTTTTCCTTCACATACATTATTTTCAATCCTAAGCACAACAATGCAGCTTTTTTAAGGGCCTTAGAACTGCCAACTCTTTTTCTTTTTTGTAACATGGTTTCTCTGCATTGCCATCTTTAAACTGTTCAACATGGTTGCATTGAAATACATATTTGTTTACTTTAGAGCATATGATATGCAAACATTACATAGCATTAAAAATAAAAATAAAACAACAATAAACACGCAGACAAAGATTTCTGAATACAGTAACAAAGTTACTAGTGTATATACCTTTCTTGGGGTATGTCCTGAAATCTGTTTTAAGTGCTTGGGCTCAGTCTGCTGATAAATGTGAAGCAGTGGGTGAATAAAAATGAACAACTCCCTCTGTGCTTTAATGTGGTAGAAGCCTTACCACTTGTTAAGGTCTTTGTTATGTACTGAAGTTCTCACCCTGGGCCAGCAGGGGGATACTGTAGATAGTTATGCAAATGAAGGATCGAAAAGTGACGTTCAGTGATTGGATAGTTTTGTATGCAAATGAAGGATCGAAAAGTGATGTTCAGTGATTGGATAGTTTTAGAAAATGGCAACAGTTGCATTGTTCTAGAGCTCTATATAAGCAGGCTGACTGAGCTCCTCAGCCTAGTTCTGTTCTGGCATCTGAATAAAGAAGACCTGTTTAAAGAATCGCTGTGTCGTCTGACATGTTCGCCCACAACTTAACAGTCTTCTCACCAGACTCCTACATCTCTCCTCCAGAGGAGGCTGATAGCAGCAAAAAGGAAGTCTGAGACGGGCAGTGATGGTGAGTCCTTTTCCCCAGCCTCTCAGAAGTTCCAGCTGCTGATTTTGGTCTTACTGCTTATTGATGTTGAGGAGATGCGTAAACAGATAAATATGCTATATTCAATAGAAAATGCTTGATTCTTAGCGGCCTTGATCCCTGCTTGGGAATGCTGAAACCAAAAAACATCAGTGCAGTTTTGAATCAGTGGTTAAAATCACTGGAGTTTTGAAAGATGCAATCTACCATCTTGATTCAAAAGGATGTCCAATTGCATCCAAACACCGACAAAAACCTGCTCCTTGATCTCAGGAACCATCATGCAAAATCTGGCTACAGCCTCTGAAGAGGTGTTCAAATGCATAGCAAACAACTTTCCAAAATATATAGTAGATGGGCCAAACTTTCTGTGTGTATGCATTCACATACATAATACATTTGTGTGTGTGTGTTGGCATGCAAAAAGATTCAAAGCCACTGCATGAACAAAATAGACAAACCATGAACATTCAGTTTTCTGCATCAGAACCAAAGCAATGTCCAACTAACAGCCCGGATAGCTGGAAAACTTTAACCTATCTACAGTCTGGGCCAGGGGCAGCAATCTGGTGTAAGCCGATATCCAGATGCCAATAGGATTGAGGAGGAATCCAAAGGCAAGGTTGGAGCAAATCAGGATCCAATAACCCAGGCTGCCAGAGCTCAGGGAGTCCATGTTGTTCATGGAAGACTCAGCTGGAACAGGGAGTCTTTATTCTCAGCCAGGAGGTGTGAAGTCAATTCTCGGGCTTAAAGGAGAAGGCTGCAGTTCAGTGGTTCACCAGATGGTTCACCATGCATGGTTGCAGGACACAGATCCAGCAGCTCCGTATGCTAATATGTGAGGCAAAGAGGTGGCAGCAGTTAGGAACCCCTCCATAAGAAAAAGGGGTTAAGTTACATGTATTTGGCTCTAATAGGATGCAAAAGCTATTTTGCAGCTAAACAGCTTGGCGCTATATATATAGATATAGATATATATCTGTGTTCATCAGCAGATCAAAGCCTGAAAGGCAATGAACATCTGCTTAAGTATTTGTTTCATTTGAAAGTAAATAATATTTCATTTCAGCAGAGCTTCCAGGGTAGTATACAAAAATAAGATAAAGTATTTAATTAAAATGTAATAAATAATATGTTTCAAAATACATTTAAAAGCCTGGGAGTATTAAAAACGTATTTGACTTGTGCCAAAAAGTTTAATGTCAGTATCAGGCAGGCGTCCCTGGAGGGGAATCCCTGGGGAGGATTGAAGTACATGGTCCATAAAAAGAGATGGTGAAACAAGAGATTGTTACCAACTACCAAGGCAGATGTGGCATAAGTCATTGCTTGGGACTTAGAGTTCTGTTTGCATAGAACATACTGCTGAACTTTTGCAAATTCATTCTTGCACTGAATTAAGGGTATTGTTTTACTGGCCTCACTATATTTTATTAGCTAGTGAAAGACACTTGTTTAGGGTATTCTCCTCTGTGTGCATAGTACATTCTGTCAAAATTAGGATCCTTTTGCTAAAACTCACCAAAGTTTGACATGCTAAAATCGATGATATGTTGCTGAAATTGCCATGATTTGGACTGAGTTGCTGCTTTGGGTAGAATAAGAATTGGCTTGTGCTGGTGTGATCAGCTTTCCTAAAAACAGTATAAATTGAGAGAGGGGGTGGGGACTAAATTCAAGTAGGAATATATACCAGAGCACATCTAAAGGTGACATGGCACAGTGTGACTTGGGGATGCCATGCAAATAAGGTATCAAAAGGCAGCAATCACCCTAATGTGTCTGGGAAGCGCTATGCCTTGCTCCCCAGCAGAGCAGACATTTCACTGTAATATTATTTATCTTCCTTCACTAGCTATTTCCCCAATACTAATAGTTTCCTAAACACCTTTAGATTCTAATTATTACTTACTAGGCAGTTGACAGCGGAAAAGGCAGCTGTTTCCCATCAAAAAGGACTGCTGGTAATGGTTCCTAGAAAGTTACCCTTACAATGGATTGTTATGAGTCGGTGGGAGGCAGGATAGACTGTATGCTGACACCCTTCCAATTGCTGGATCCAGCAAGTGTTGAAATCTAAGCAAGGATTCACATTCTTGGACTAGCCAGGCTAGCTTCCTGGTGAAACAATACCCTCAGTATGGGTCATTAAGGTAACAAAGGAAGTGGATCTGTGGCAGACAACAAATGGGTGGGCCCCCTTCCCTCAAATTGCTAGTATTCCTGGTAGTTAGAAAGACAAAGGCCACAGTGGACAGGTGTGTGTGTGTGTGTGTGTGTGTGTGTGTGTGTGTAAGCTAGAAGCTGGAGGCAAGGCAGCAGGCTGGGAAGCCAGAGAGAGAGAGAGAGAGAGAGAGAGAGAGAGAGAGAGCCATGCCTGATTTCCTCGTGAATCAAAGGCTGCGACTATGGCAGAAGCAAGACCCTTCAGTGGCGTGAATGCTGTGAACCAGTCCATCATAGGCTCAGGTTGTGTATATATGTAAATAAGCCATATATCATAAAGACTCCACAGTCTCCTTTTCCTCATTCTGAATGAAACACAAACCCTGGGTAAGCAACTGGAAGCCCTGGAATCTCGAACCACTCAGCGACTGGGGTGGTGTGCAGCAGTATAGTAGCATAATGGCTGAAAGTAAATTGGAGATGTAAAATAGGTTGCTTAACTGTTATGTTGATATTCCAACTAAAGGTGGAGCTGTGTCAAAAAATGAGGCGGTCAACTATGTTGCTGTTCTCAACTGCTCTTAGCAATAAAGGGGTTCTGGCTTCTTCTTTGAAATAACCTGAAAGAGTATGAACATCACATCTCTTATGAAACCATTTGGATTTACTTGCAATAGCCCACTAAAGTGAATTGATAGTAGAGTTTTGCTTGAATTTGAAAAGCAAGTCAAATAGACTCTCTATTGGTGCTTCCTTCATCAGTCTATCTTTTGTATTTCTCCCCCACAAATTCATTGACTAGTGTATTTTAGACTAATTTTAGCTAGTTTCACACCTAGGGATACAACTTCATGGCAGATTTCATCGTGAAATGTATGAATGTTATGTTTCATAATGGTCACTGACAATGGCCTCATTCGCATATAATACTAAGCAGTGCTTTTTTTCTGGGGGTATGTATACCCCTAAACATTTTGTGAATCTTTGTACTTATGTCCATTTACTGTATTTATTTCTCCCGATTTGAACTATAAAATAGTGATTCTCTTGAGTCAAAATGAGAGTACCCTTAAACATTTTTTAAGAAAAAAAGCACTAAGACAAACAATGGCTCAGTGTGAATGCTGTGTCCACTTAGCTCCTCCCCTGGGCTTTCTAGCTTAGCTGATCCAATAATAATAAAAACAATAATAATTTTATTATTTATACCCCACCCATCTGGCTGGGTTTCCCCAGCCACTCTGGGCGGCTCCCAACAGAATATTAAAAACATGATAAAGCATCAAATGTTAAAAACTTTCCTAAACAGGGGCTACCGTCAGATGTCTTCTAAAAGTCAGATACTAGTTTATTTCCAAAGTTCGCTCAGCGTGTCACCTGAACCTAGGGTCGTGGTTAAGGTCTTTCCTCCTTAACAATGATCCTCTGTGGTTATCCCAGGTTCAGATCATATGCAAAGCCAAACCTTGGCTTCCTTGCCATACAACACGGAGCTACAAAGACCAGGGAGGTGCAAAGTGGATATGAACTCCTCTCTGGGTTCATACATGGTAAGCCATACTCTCACTTACTGTGATGTACAAATGAGGCCAAAGGCTAGGACCCAAAGGGCTCTTTCATTTATGCCCAAGGGCTAGAGTGTACCCTATAAGAGGTTTCGCTTTTAAACATTATTTTAAAGAACTGTCCCAAGCTGTATTTGAAATCAAATTGGGCTCCGTTGTCCAAAGTTGGCAGTATTTAGAACAAAGCTGCAAAGGCGTCTGAAACAACGCCTTTGTGTGTCAAGTAACAACCTATCTTGAAAGCACTGGCAAATATGGTTAACAATTATCCTAGTTCTTCATTTACTCCCTTAACTAAGCAATGGTAAGGACACTAAACAATGCTGCCATCTACAGGGGAATATTCTACTACAGTTGGACTACACGTTAAACATGGTGAGGAAAGTTATTTAATACTAGGACTGTAGCCTTTAAATTATTGATTTGTTATTTTAATCAATACAAGCCATTTTGATCAATTAAAATAACATAAATTAATTAGGCAAGACATTTTTGGGGGTGAAATAAAATTATTTTTAACACAGAGCTGTCAAATGGAAGGCGCCATCTTAGAGGGGAAGAAAGGAATCCTTTGCCTACGTGTTAACTATGACACATACGTGCACCATCTAAAAACTAGAAAGTATAGTTTTTTCTATAAAGCAGTAGTTTGTCATTTGGAAATGTATGCAGATTTAATTGATTATTTGGTTAGTTAACTAGCAGTATAATCCCATACACACTTGCTTAAGGGTATGCCCCATATTGACCTAAAATACTTGCTTCTGAATGCTACAGGAGTTCACCATAATATTTCTCCAACTACGTGGTAGCCCTGCTTTAAACATCAGACTGTTCTGTACAAAAGCATAAATTATATTATTATAAACAACATAGTATTTAGCAATGATGTTGGAGCTGCCAAGAGAATCAAATGTACATAAGTTTAGATCAAAGATCATTAAATTAAGTTTTTGTTTAATTAAACTTTAGCTTCTTCTATCTATATACCATTTCCTCTGTTCCACTCAAAAACTGGGGTGTGTGGACAATGAAAATAAATATTTCAGGCTGCTTCATTCTCAGTGCATGAGTCGCAGTGTTTATATGTGTGGAAATCTTCCTATAAATTAAGGTGATTTCTCTTTCCCAGCCTTCTCAAACTGACATTCAGCTTCAACATAAATCACCCAGGAATCTTGGGTGAGATGGGGAAGAGAAATTAGTCAGACCTAAGCCTCTTTTCCCTTGCAAACTTCTCCAAGTCTTGGGCAACAGGAGGAAGCCCTCGTGCATGGAGGGGAAAGATGGAAGCAGGCTGTCAGAAATGTTTCCTTGCATCAGGAAGTCCCTTTTATATACACCCTTTTAGCCATACTAAATTCAACTGATTCTTAAGGCGCTCTTTATGCATAACATCCAGCCGCATTCTCAACATATTCTGTCTTCCTATTTCATCTAACTCCTCCCATCTCTCCCCCGCCCTGGACAAACTTCTTTAAGCACAGACTTATAGTCAACAGAGCACAACAGCCCTCTTGCTGCCTCCTGCTGTTTTTTCAAACCTCTGACACTGCAAGGAACCCCTGGAGAGGCTTGAAAAAACAGCAAAATAAGTGGCTCCCAACTGATTTGATTCCCCTCCCTGCTCTTGGCATCAGACCAGATCCCTGGATGTTTCAAACTGAAGTTGAAGGAGAAAATTGGGAGAGAGGATTTGCCTTAATTTACAGAAAGTTTTGCATCCACCCTGAGCACCCCCAATTTTTTATTCTCACAGAATGCCTGCAATTCTTATAAACCAGAATTGTGCAAAACCATCTGGTTATTACAACAAGCAATCTGCAGTTTTATTCTGTAAGCAAGGTTGGGTTGGTGGGGAGAGAATGACCGAGAGAGCAGACAAACACCCCCCAAAAAAAAATTCTGTCAAGTTCTTCTCACTGGAGCACCAATAAATATGACGACGGGGAAAAACGGAGTGTGTGGACCTTCCTGTGCCAACTGCAAACACACACAAAAAGGATATGAACAACCTGTTTGCAAATTAGTGCTGCCACAGGAACACAGCTTAAATGACAATGGCGGCTGGTACCCATTGAGACTGGTGGGGCAAAGGCAAGGAGACGAACAAACAGTAGGTGAAATCAGAGCCAATGGCAGAGTCAACTCATTCTATTTTTCTCCCTGCTGATTTCTACAAGTGGGACACTTTGAGACTAAGGAGGAGGAATCTTCCAGACTGGTTGTAAGTAAGAAGGTGAGTAGGAATGCTCAAGTTGATAGGGTCATGTCCCATTTGCCCTAACAGACCAGACCCCACTATTAAGTGAGGAGTTACCTTAAACCTGCAGTGCTGCCACTAAGCAGCCAAGGACTGATGGTTCTTATAGGGAATCTGATGGGTGGCTCTTCCATGAGGTTTGCCTCTCCTTCTGAGCTGGCTGGGTGGCTGGGATTTGTCTCTGAATGGAGTGGGAAGTCTTTATTAAGTGTTGGCTCTAATGTGGAGGAGGACGCCATTTGGCTCCCTCCACCACGCAGCAAAATATTTTAGATTGGCATGCTGTGGCTATGCTATAGTCTAAGGGGTATGGAGCTTTCATTTGACCAAGAGGCAACCAGAGAATCCTGCTCCCCTCTTTGGTGGAGATCTCATTGGGCCTGAGTACCAGTGAGTCCTTTATTCCATTCTCCAGCCCGCAGAAACAACATTCAGAAACTTGCAACCCAGCTCATTCTTTTCAGCAAACCTCAGGGGTGCTATTACTTCCATTTTGTGGGAAATGTGGGATTTTCCTATTTATATGCCTTAAGATACTCTAAATTGCTTGTGCCCTTCATCTAGTGTCCCCTAGAGAGACCTTCTTTATTTTGAGAAATAGTGAGTAATAACAATTGCCTGAAAGTAAAAAGAGAAGTAACAGATGACATAGAGGATAAAGCTATCACTAGCCACCAACCAATATTTACTATTTTCTATTTCCACTGTCAATGGCAGTGTGCCTCAATATACCATCACAAGTGGGAAGAGTTGCTGTTGCTGTTTGTGAGCTTCCCATAGGCATCTGGTTGGCCACAGTGGGTATATAAATGCGCCTTTTGTCTGATACAGCAGGGCTGCTCTTTTATGTTATGTTAGAACAGTTTTGCTGCTAACATATTGTGTGATTGCAAACAAATTTATGCTTTTAGTTTTGCTATCACTTCCCCATCCACACGGGCATGATGGTTTTCATCCTAGATCCCCCCCGCCCCCCGCAGCTACAGTTGAAATCCTTACCAAATATATATAGTTTTTGGCAAGTTCATTAGTGCAATCTGCTATCTCTACAGTAGATTTCTCCAGAAATTGACCCACAGTAACCCTGGTGTGCTATGCACCAGCTGTAGAAATGATCAAAGGGAATTGCACCAGAGGATCACTCAGAAAAGTAAGCAAAGCCTTATGCTACAGGGAAGGGCAAAAATCAATAAAACAAATAAGCCCTATTGAAAAAATATGAAAACAAATTCCTCTGCTCAAGTGCTATACTCGTAGCAATGCCTTCTGCACTGTTGAAACAGATATCCCTCAAGTGCATCCAGAATCACATCACCCTGAAAGTCCCACCATGCACTTGTCCCCACATAACAGTGAAATATGTCGCGTCCTCACGCTCTGTACTTCATTCTGGCAACTGATTTTCATATAATATTTCCATCTCACAGAACCACTTGTCAGACACCCACTCATTGCTTCTGGAAAATAGCTGACTTCAGGAACGGTAGGTCTTTCAACACACTGATATTTCCACATATTGAAATGCTTTGAGCACCCTTAACTCAGTGTTATTTGGTGCCAGCGTTTTGGCTCTTTTCTGTACTTGAACTGTTGTTCAATGTGTTTTGTTCTTGAGTTTGCTTGGCATGCAGACTCTCTGAGGAAGGTCTTTGTGCATATGCCTGTTTTTAGGCACTGTGCATCACCCAGTGGTGGCTGGTGCCCATTGGAACTGGTGAGGGGGAAGGCAGGCAGACTGTCAATAGGTGGAACCAAAGTCAATGACAGGCAGCCCA